TCCTCACAGCCTCCGTGTCAGAGCAGGCAGCCCCCTTGTGCAGACTGCTGTGTTCCTGGGCGCGGAGAAGCGCCCACAGACTCCCAGCTGTGGGAAGGGGAGCAGGGAGCACCCCAGGGGTGGCCCTGGCCAGCGTCTGCACTGGCACAGCCGTGGCAATGAGGCCATTCCTCCTGTCCTGCAGCCACCGTGGAGCCTGTCAGACCCCAGCGCTGGCATCCACGCTCACCGCCCGTCAGCACCCAAGCCTTTTGGGCCAGCAGCCAGTGTGTCTCCCTGCCCCTCCTTGCCCACCCTGGCCTCCCCTGCCTTGGGCTGCTGGGCCCTCGCCTCCGCCTTCCTGTGTCCTGTGCTCTCCGGAGAGCCCCCCATCCCCTCGACCCCTGGGGCCCCTTCTCTCGTGGCCTGTAAAAGCAGTCGTGTCCCGTGCTGCGCGAATGACATCTCTGCCCCTCCACGCACAGCCCCCCGTCCTGGCTCTGTCCCAGCCCTCCCTCGGGATCCTGGCCGCTTGGGCGTGGGGGGGAGCGATGCCACTGAATCACGAAGTCGGAGGAGGGCGCTCTCGGTGGCAGGAAGTGCCCCCGTCCCCGGAACAGCCCTGATGGCAAGAGAGGAGCACAGAGCCACGGATGAGCAGGCGGGAGAGGGACAGAGCAGTGCTGGCCGCAGCTGACCTGGCACTCATCCATGGACCCGTGGTCAGGGGCAGCATTGCTGACTTTGCTGCCTTCCCGGCCGGGGCCAGGGGCCAAGTGGTGGGATTTCCCCTCAGGTCTCCTCCTCAGTGGAATGAACTGCCGGGGCGGCAGGCAGAGGCGCAAGGACCACCCATGGCCCAGCCACAGGCACCCCCTGGGACCGGAGCCAGGACGGGGAGGGCTGTCTTTGGTGCGGCCCCATCCACCTCTCCTGCTGGCTGGAAGATGGTGGGCTTGCTCCTTGGCCTGTCTCCGCCTGGGGCTCAGCCAGGGTGTGGGGAGGAGCCTCGAGTGTCCACAGGGCAGCCACACTCGCCTTGTCCAGGCGCCTGCAGCTTGGGCCGACACTGCCCCCGCTCGGGTGGATGGGTCCCCAGAGGTTCCGGCCGCAGACAGGCGTCCAGCCATCCCCGCGCAGGGTTGGGTGAGCTGGAGGCCCCCAGCCCCAGGCTCGCTCGGCCTGTCAGGCAGCCCACAGGGCCTACCCCGAGACCCTGACCCCGAGCCTTCCCTCCCCCAGCCCCAGGGCCGGCTCGCACATCCTGCATCCCCAGGGCTGCTGCCCGCAGAGGAAGTGAGCTCTTTGTCTGGAAGCAGCTCTGAGGACACAGCGCAGGGGGCCCTCCGCTGCTTTCCCGGCTGGGCTTCTGCCTGGGAGCCCCCTGGGGCTGTCACACTCTGGGCAGGAGGCCTCGGGGCTGTGATGGATGTGCTGAGGTTCCAAGGAGCTGGCCCGGGCCCCGGGCCCAGCGGGCTCCAGGCCCGTCAGGAGACCACCCGGCAACCTGGGGCCACTTCGGCACATCCTGGGGTCTGGCGCTGGGGGAGGGGCTCTTGCTTCTCTGAGCCAACAGGTTTATGAGGCGGATGGTAGGGCACTAACCCAGAAACTACCCTGCCTCCTCTGGGGTCCAAGTAGCAGAGCCAGGGATGGAGATGGCCCACCTGAATCCTGGGCCTGTGGGATTCAGGAGAGCCATGAGGTCGGCCGAGGCTTCTGCTCAGTTGAGGAACTGACCAGGCACCTGCTGGTGCCAGGCCCTCCCAGGGCTCAGAGGCCACGGCCAGGCCCAGCATGGAGGCAGCTCTGGCCGTCAGAAAGGACTTCCTGGGGAAAGAGCTTCAACACAGAGGCCCACGGGAGGAGTGGGAATGAGTCTGGGAAGAGGGGCTTGGAGGCGGCTCTCCAGCTACCGGAACAGCAGGTGGAAAGCACAGGAAGCACCAGCTCTTAGAACCAGCCTTGGTCTGGCTGCCCCATCCAGGAGTGGGTGAGAGATAAGATGAGACCAGGCCAGGACCGTGAACCTGGGCTTCGTTCTGGACCGGGAATGGCCTGGTCGGCCCGTTCTGAAGAGATGGCCCTGGTGTCCCAGCAAGGGCAGGATCCAGACGAGGTGGGTTCTGGGGTCAAGGGATGTGCAGGGAAGCCTGGGCGAGATTTGGTGTTCGCCGGCGGCGGCCGGGGGGCAGGGCAGCCCGCCCCCAGCCCCATCCTGTGAATCCCAGGGGCGTCCCGGGGGGGGCAGGCTCGGACCAGAGTGCTGTGTGGGGCCTGCAGGCTGCCAAGGCGGGAGGAGCCTGGTGGTTAGAGGAGGGTGGGCCAAGGCTGGCGGGGAGGATCTCGGGTGTGCGACCGCCCCACCGGCCTCGCCCGAGGACAGCAACCTTCACACACTTCGGGGGCCCCGCCCCGGCCGGGGTGTCGTAACCACCGTCCGGGCCAGACACGGGGGCCAAGTTGCTGGAGGCTCGTCGCTCTCACAGCCCTCACCACACACAGGCAGACTCCCCGCTGCCGGCCAGGCCGCGTGTGCAAGGCCTCCCCAAGGGTGCGCAGGCGAGAAGACCCGCGGCGCCGTCCGGGCCTGCCCCCGAGGGGCTACCACGGAGCATGATTTATACCTGATTTCTACCCTCTGCGGAGGCCGGGCCGGGGCCGCAGCCCCCCTGTCGAGATGAGCCAGTCAGAAGGCCGGCTGCACGTCCTGGGTCCCCCTTTGGTGGCCAGAAACGCCTCCACCCAAGAAACCAGCCGAGCCGGGGTTGAAGCACGAGCCACGACCAGGGGGTAGGAGGCGCGCCTCGGCCCCACACGCCAGGATGGCCGACGGCGGTCGACTGGCGAGCTGTTTGAGGAGCTCTGGGGACCCGAGCCAGGGAAGGCCTGAGGGACACTCTGCGCCAGGCCCCAAGGACGGAGTGCCACGGGCCCAGGCCAGGCACAGGCGTCAGCAGAGGCGTTGCCTGTGTGCTTCTGGAACAGAAAGGTGGCCCAGGCCGAATTCGGTGGCTCACATCTATAATCCCAGCACTTTGGGAGGCTGAGGCAGGAGGATTGCTTGAGGCCCAGAGTTCAAGACCAGTCTGGGCAATCGAGTGAGAAAATTTAAAAATTAGGAGGGCATGGTTGTGGGCGCTTGAAGTCCCAGCTAGCTACTTGGGAGGCTGAGGTAGAAGGATCGCTGGAGCCCGGAAGGTCAAGGCTACACTCCAGCCTGGGCAACAGAGACCCCGACTCAAAAAAAGAAAGGTGGCCTGGCCTCTGGAGGGTGCTGCGGAGGAGGGAGGGCGGGATGAGCTGGGCTCTTCCGGGCTCGCGGCTCGGGCCTTGGAGAGCAGTGGCCAGAGCCCAGGCAGGCCTGGCTTGCGCCCGGGAGCAGTGAGCACAGGCAGAAACCGGGGTCACAAGTGATGGAGAATAGTGGCCAGTGCCACTCTTTGAGGATGCTGTTCCAGGAGGGCCAGAGACTCCAACCCTCCAGGGCCGGCTTTGTGACTGTTTGACAGGTGGCATCTAAGGCTCACTGAGGTGGGGAGCTCGTCCCGGTCACAGCAGGGGAGCAGCCGAGCTGGGATGCATTATCCAAGTCTCCTTTCAGGAATGCCACACCAGGAAAGAGCCCCCACCCTGGCTCTGCCCCCAGGGCTGCAGACCGGGCCAGCAGGAGCGTGGTGTGTGCCCAGGACCGTCCCAGACATAAGCCAGTAGCAGCCGGAGTTGTCCCGGGCCTGCCCAGGCTCTCCCCAACACTGCCTTGTTGTAGTCAGATGCCAGACCCCAGGACAGCCGTGCCGCGCCCCCCGCCCAAAGCCTGGGGCAGGCAGACAGGGTTGGAGTTGGGAGCTGGGCTCGGAGGGGGCTCTCCCTCTCTCCTCATGTGGACAGGTGGGGGTATCTTCCACCCCTTGCCTCCCTGAGCCCTCGGGCCATGGGTCGGACGCTGTCCTGTGAGCTGGCTGGGTTACAGCCTGCTCAGAGCCCTGCACCTCCAGGCAGCCCGACCCCAACTGCGGGAACCGATCTCTGGCAGGAAGGGGGCCCCGACGTGGGGACTGGTGCCCAGCGAGTGTCCGAGGGGTCCGAGGGGTGATGTCTTGTGTCCCAGGGAGAGCTCTCAGCCCCGCTGACCCCACCAAGCCCTGCCAGCCACAGGGGCTCAGAGCCCTGTGCCTTGTGGTTCAGCCCTCGGCAGTTCAGGGCCCCTCAGGCCGCAGGGTGCCCTTTCGTTGCAGTGACCCTCGGCGACGGGCAACGCGGAGGGCAGTTTCCGGTGGTGGCCACGGCAGGACGTGGCAGAGAGGCCCTTGGGTGCCGAGGCTGCCCTGCCCGAGGGTGCTGCAGGGCCTGGCACTGGCTGCCCTCTCTGGCCAGGGCGCAGCGGTGATCTGGGCCCTCACCCCGCCCGCCTGGCCCAGAGTATGCGGGGGCCTGCCCAAACTCAGCCCCGTGGGGCCGGGGCAGAACGCCTCACTGGCCTGGGCTCCCCGTCTCGCCCTCGGGCTGAGTCCAGAGGTGCGGCCGGAGCCCCCTTGGGGAGAGGCTGAAGACGGGGATTCCGCAGAGCCCAGGCATGGACGGCGGTGTGCCCATGCAGCTGAGGCTCCTGGAGGGTAGCTGTCCCCAAGTACTCCAGGTGGCAGCCCCCAGGGGCCTCCTCAGAGCCTGGCCGAGCCGAGGACTGGCTCTGGGCACAGGTCCCTGAGGCGCACAGAGCTTGCGTGACCCCCAAAGCTCAGTGCTTGGGACGCTTTCCACAGTGACCTTTGCCCCAGAAACATGGGGCAAAGATGAGTTTGATTAGCAGCTCTGGGCTTGGCCGTCTGTGCTCCACAGAGATGGCGGAGATGGCTTGCCCGTGCTGTTAGTGGGTGGGGCCACAGACCCCTGCCGCTAGCCCAGGAGGCCGGGCCAGCCGCACCTTCGCCCCAGAAACCTTTGCTCCCTGCAGCAGCTCCAAGGATGATTCAGCCCCGTTCAGGATGTGCAGGGATGCCCACCCCGCTTCCCCCACCAGATCAGGCTTCCCTGGTCCACAGCAGCAGAGTGCAGGACTGAAGCCCACGCCTGCCACCGGGGTCTCCTCCTGATGCTTAGGGATCTTGCTGGGCGCCCCAGAAGCACTCGCCGTTCAGAGGACACCCCGTGGGCTGGAAAGTAGACCCGGGCTGGAAAGTAGACCCGGACTGGGCTCCTGACCCTGGGTGACAGAAGCCTGGCCCTGAGGGCGGAGCAGAGAGAAAGGAGGGGTCCCGAGGTCCAGAGCTGTGGCCGGGAAAGCCTGGCACAGAGAGCCGCCCTGGTGTGGCGCCCTCCTCTCCCCTCCCCTCCCTTCAGGCCTTTCATCTCAGACAGCACAAAGGCTTTGTGTCACCCGCCCTAGCCGGGCTGCTGCCGAGCTGCCAATCTCCATGGCTCATGGCAGCTTCTCTTGGACCCACAGGTGTCTGGTGGCCTGACATGCACCGTCTGGCCGACCGCATCCACCTGGAGGAGCTGACCCGCATTGGCATCCTGAGTGGCAGCGTGGATGCCATGGTCCAGGCCCACCTGGGAGCCGTGTTTATGCCTCATGGGCTGGGCCACTTCCTGGGCATTGATGTGCACGATGTGGGAGGCTACCCAGAGGTCAGTGTGGTCGTGGTGGCTGGAGTGGCCTGCTTGTGGGCCACCCCAGGGTGGGACGGGAGGGATGAGTGCCCTGGCTTCCCATGGTACTCGAGATGAGGGAGGGAATTGGGGTCCTGGCATGGCCCCACAAGGGCCTGGACAAGGCAGGGCCGGACCAGCAAGCGTCCCTCCTCCAGTGGCTACCTCCATGGGACCCGGGTGCAGAGGCGGGTGCTGTCTGCACACTGGGCCCTGGGCTGGGCACCAAGTGTAGCCTGCCCAGAAAGGTGGTCTATGGTCCCTAGTGCATGGGTCCCCATTGGCCTTACTGTTGGAGAAACACTGCACCCCTCATGGGCAGGGGCTTTATTCAACAGCCTCTGGCTTCATTCAGGTGTGGTGACAGGGCCCCGCCTGGCCCCCAACAAGCAGACCCCTGCCAGCTCCCCCCACAGCCCCCCAGGCCTGTAGCTCTGCAGCCTCTGCGTCCCCGGGCACTCTTGGGGCACTTGGGACCCTGACAGAGGAGGCTTGGGGACATCTCCAGACAAGGCTTCCCCTCCCCCTCCTACCAGCCTTCAAAGAACCACCCAGAGGAGGCTTGGAGCTTGGGGAGACCCTCCCAGGCAGGTGACTGGCCTCTCGGGGCCAGGCGCGCGGGGGCGCCCATCCCTGCAGCCTGGCGAATTGCCCGCAGTGCAGGGGGCTGATTATGCAATCGGGGCACACCCTGAGGCCCACCAGCCTGTTAGCCAAGACAAGGCCTGGCCTCTTGGCTGCAGGGTATTTTGAAAGCACTAAGAACGATTCTGGGGGAGAAGTTGCTCAAGAGGAGCATTATTATTCAGTTATTTGTTCCTCAAGTGTAAACAGTTAAATTTGGAGAAACAAAATCGGTTTTAATACCCTAATTTCCATTCATCCCATTGTGTGCAGGGAGCCAAGCGCGGGGCCTTCCAGACATTGTTAGCTGAGGTTCGTTATTCATTAGTCGCCAAAGCGCTTTTTTTCCACCAGAGAAAATTGGCAGCAAACTGTTTCCATCTTTTCCAGTAAGGAGCCCTTTGTGCTCCCAGAGTCTATTCTTCTGACAGATAAACACTGTGGAAAAAATATGGCTTTTCCTATAAAAGTCATTTGTTTCATTTCAAGCCTAAGACACATCTGGGTCTCCTCTGCTCAGAGCCCAGGAAAAGCGGAGACCTTGTCCAGCCCCCTGCCCAGGCCGAGGCAGCCACGGGCACTGCCAGGGCAGACCCTCCCACCGGGGGGCAAGGCTGCCGTTCTCTGGCCAGGGGGCTCGGGGCCTGCTCTCCCTTCGCTCTGGGCCCAGCCCTCCACCCTCCTCAGCCCTGCTCTGGCCGTTGGGCCTTGGCCGCGCTGTGCTTGGTGAGTCCCACACGGCAGGCCCCCAGAGCTGACGCCCTGAAGGGGCAACTGGGGTCAGTGGGCTGGGCCGGGCCTGTCCGCCATGCCCCCGGGGGTCCCTTCCGATGCCCGCCCCAGTGCGAGTGGCAGCCCTCGGGAGTTCTGGGTGGAGGAGAGCAGTCTCTCTAGGCTTCAGCGAAGGCGCCTCCCTGCAGCGCGCCTTGGAGCAGCTGGGTGTGGGGCCGGGGGGAAGATGACCTTGTCGGGCCCTTGCCTTCACCAGGCCCCTGGCCTTGACAGCCGTGGGTCGGAGAGAGGGGGACGGGCGCTTAGGGTGTGGCCGAAGGAAGGGACAGGGCGGGGCTGCCAAGGGGCGGGCAGAGGCTCCGGAAAATCCGAACGGCCGCTTCTGGGCAGGAGACAGGCCCCGGCCGCACCGCCCAAGCATCTCTTACCCGAGCACAGGGACCGTCGTTCCAGATGGGGCCCTTGGCCGAGGGGCCTCCTGCCTGGCCTCCAGCGCAGTGGCCCAGAGGAAGACGTTGGGGGCAGGGGCCCTCGCCAGCCCGGCTGTGCCCAGAGCGCGAGTGACCCCGAGGGCTGTAGTCCTCCTTCCCCACCCCTCCGCCCCAGCCCGCTCACTCCTGGAATCCCAGTCCCAGCTGTCCCTGCCATGCCCACCCTCAGAGGCTGGCCGCCTGTTTCTGGTTACCTTACGTGAACCGCTAATTAAAGTCGGATGTTCTTGGCCCCCAGACAGTCAGAAATGACAGCGCCGTCTCCAGCAGCTGGGCTTCCCTGGGGAGCCCTGCGCAGGGCAGCGTGAGCTCAGATCCTGGCCGGAAAGCTTGCCTGCTGCCCGCTTGCCCAGAGGCCCTGGCCATAGGCTAGGTGGTGCCCCAGGGACCTGGGGAAGGCAGGAGCTCTTCCGCAATTGTCCTGAGCACCACCTGCCCTGCCCGGGCCGAGGCCATCAGCTGTGTCTGTGAGTGGTCAGGCCCAGGCTGGGCGTGCACCGGGGCACAGAGGCCTCTGCAGGGAGCAGCTGTCACTGTCACTCATTCCTCCAGGGCTGGGGACTGGGTCCCAGGGATCCAAAGTGCTCCCCGGGAGCCACAGCCCCAGGCCACGCACACGTGGAGGCACATGTGCATTTGCACATGAACACACTGGGGCTGGCAGGCCCATCCTGATGACAGCACCTGTCCCTCTTCCTAGACGGTCACATGGAAAACCTGGGACTTGGCCTGGAAGAGCTGGGACCAGCACTTCTGGGGCCAGTTTCCACTTGAGCTGCCTGGAAGGAAAGCTGCGGCCCCCAGAGGCCTTACAGCCGCCTTAAGAGCTTTTTTGGCTTCAGTGGTTTGGCTTCCACCATTCCCCGGGCCAGGAGAGGGGCCTGGGTGAGGGCAACCAGCCACCCAGCCAGCCCCGTAGGCCTGTCAGGGCAGCTTGCCCCGGGTGTATGCACATGGGTGTCCACAGGGCTCCTGAAACTGATTTCCAGGGTAACATGGGGTCAAGGCTCTCAAATCTGGGGGTGCATGCAGCGTGGAGGGTCTTATCAGAATTGCCCATGGCCCAGCACAGCACGAGTGTCTGGAAGGGAGACCCCTGCGGTCAAGAGCCCACGAGGCCGGAGCAGGCCTTCACATGCCCATCGGCCCCCTGAGGAGGCAGTGGCACTGTGGCCAGCCCTGGGGGCTGTGGGTTGGGCCCCCTCACCCGTCCCTCCCCACAGGGCGTGGAGCGCGTCGATGAGCCCGGCCTGCGGAGCCTGCGCACCGCACGGCACCTGGAGCCGGGCATGGTGCTCACCGTGGAGCCCGGCATCTACTTCATCGACCACCTCCTGGACGAAGCCCTGGCCGACCCGGCCCGTGCCTGCTTCTTCGACCGCGAGGTCCTGCAGCGCTTCCGCAGTTTTGGTGGGGTGAGTGCCTGCTGGCCCCGCATTCTTGCTCCCAGAACGTCTGCCACCTCCCTGCAGCTTGTCGCCTCTTTGTCCCGAGATGGGGGCCGGGGTGGGGGGAGGGCCAGTCTTGATTTCCGCCCTTGAGAGGGGCCTGGTCTGCCTCTGCATGATTGTCACTGGACGGGCGCCACACCCCTCAGTAGGAAGACAGAGAGAGTCTACAAAACCCCTGCCCGCTCCAGGGGCTCCTTCCGCCCGGCAAGGACAGGGTGAGCAGGCGGCATGAGCAGCTGGCCCCATGCGAGGAGCCTTCCCACAGAGGTGCTGAGACCAGCCGCTCCCGTCATTCGGAGTGCCGGACACTCTGCAGAAAGAGCGGTTCCCACGCTGGCGGGGTCGGCCTGGAGCAGGCCTGACGCACTGACCTCGCACCGCTGAAGGGCTCAGGTCCGTGCTAACAGTGTCTCTTGGACTGACCCAGGTCCGCATCGAGGAAGACGTTGCGGTGACTGACAGTGGCGTGGAGCTGCTGACCCGCGTGCCCCGCACCGTGGAAGAGATTGAAGCCTGCATGGCAGGCTGCGACAAGGCCTTTACCCCCTTCTCTGACGCCAAGTAGAGTCAGCCGAGAACGTCCACGGGCCTGATTCACGACAGCCAGCCTGCTGATTGGCCCTCCAGCGGCAACGCGGTGCTCCAAAATCCCACGCAGCTTTGGCGTTTAATCATACCAAACAGTGCTGTTTCCGAAGGAGGAGACACATTTTTATTAGCCTTTAATCTGTTATATACCTTGCTAAAATGACTGTGACTTAAAATTCTGACTGAAAATAATCCTAGCAACTAAGTTGTATCTTGCTATCATTTGTATTCCGCTTCTTAGCAAAGATGTATTTCCAGCGTTTGCTCTCAAAAATCAAGATGCAGGATGGAATTTGCAATGAAAGTTTCCTAAAATGGTCCTGTGTGTGTGGCTCCCTCTTTATCTGTCTCTTTGCAGACAAGAACCTGAAACCTGTGGGCCCTGAAAAGACGGCTCACCTAGTGTCA